TTTCACTTTAAGCCTTAAAAAATAAATCAAAATCAGAAATAACTTTTTTAAACTGATTAAATGAAAAACAGGGAACCCCAAAGGTCTCCTCACGTAATTTTGACAAAAAAGTACAAACAGCGATAATATGAAACGCATCCAATGGCGAGTCAGCCACACCACATACGCAACTGTCTCTTCTAAAAAAAGAAAAACAACAGTTTATATCGCTCTTTCAAAAAATCGGATAGTCTCCCAACTGCCTACATTTAAAAAAAGTTCCTTAAAAAACAAAAAACCAATAGATTTTTTTTTTCTAGAACACTATGTAAAAATGGTGATCATCTGAAATATATTTTTAGAGCAACTTTGTCTTTAATTTGTACTTGCCCTATTTGCTAGCGAGCCAGGAGTGTCTGTATGTTGGGATTAGGCTAAATTATTAAAAAAGTGTTTGACTTTTACAAATTAAAATCAATGAATGTGTTTGAAATTTTGCAAACTTCTAAAAATGGTGTATGCATTAATTTCAGGGAAAAGGAAATGTTATCCAAATAATGGAAAAAACATTATGATGACTTAGTTCATCTACTTTCTGTGAGAAACCATGCACTTTTTTCTGAAAATTGATAAAACCAATTCAAAAAATTTTTCATAGCATCATCATGTTATTTTTAGAAAGGTCTTTTTTTTAAGTGTTTGATCCCTCACAGAAACCACAAGACTGCAACAGAGTTAAAGTTCACAAGGGAAGTACGATGAGATAGCTAACATTATTAATAGGATATCTCTCTGTAATTTTTTATCATTTTAGCTTTACATGATCATACTGAAGTAACTTAAGACTCAGTCAGCCGATTGCAGAGACAGAGTTTACGTTAAACGACATTTATCAACAGAACGGCCTATAGACGTTGGCTGGCTGAATCGCGGTTTAAAATGTGTTGCAAAGACAACGATCATCTATTTCTGACCATTTTCTAAACGAACTTCGGCAAAACATTGGCTCTTACTTACTTTGCTATTACTCCCCTGTTTTAGGAGTCGTTTGGCCAATCGGGTTATTTGTTTGTGACGTCAGAAATGGTCACCAGCTATATTCTGAAAACTTCCAGAAATATAATCTTAAGGCTGTCAAAATCATTTTTTGGCAATTAATGATAATCCTTTTCCATTTCAATATTTAATTTCATTGCCAATATGGTTTAAAATATGAACAAATCCATATTTAGAAAATTTATACCGAATTTGGAATAGATTTTTAAGGAATTATTTTGACGTCTTATTACATCGAAATGAGTAATTTTAAATATTTTATTAATAATAATATATTTTTTTAATATCTATAAACAGATTTCTATAATTATTAAAATTGTCTCGTTTGTTTAACAGTACAATGACTCCGAAATACATTAACGTTTTATAACCGACACGATACTTGAATTGTAAATAAATGCATCTGATTTAAATTAATTGAAGTTTTAAGTCTCCACCCATTTGAATGTCGAAGTTGGAACATTTAAAACAAATTTAAAATATTTAATGTTGTTGTTTTTGCTCCAAGCAATTAATTAATGAATAATTTTGTCGATTCGTACCGTTTACAACATTTATCAAAGGAACGATATCTGTTTTTATCTAAACTTTTCCATGAACAAAGCTACCACTCGAATTGAAAAGCCCTCTAAACCTGCTGTCGAGTGAATCTAGAAAATAGGTCAAATAACTTGTTTCTAATCGCTGTCTACATTGTGGTAGGTGAGAAATGCCGTCTCTGCAATGAAATTTTTCTGAACAGAGGTCTACCCGATCTGTAAACCACCTTCGGTCTCTAAGCGTCTCTACAATCAACTGAGTCTGTTTTTTCAATGTTCTTAGAAATAATTAACTAACACTTTTTTAATAAGTAATATTTTAGAACAGTTTTCAAAACTAGAGCAAATCATTTCAAATTACAATAAACTGTGTGTGTTATGTAAGTTTAAAGCAACATTATATTATGAATTTTACATCAGTATAAAAAGGAACATATCATACGATATAAAATAAATGAAAATTAGATACAATATATGATGATAAGCCAACCACAATTATTAAAACACTAACATTAACCTGCAATCGTGAAATTTTTATACACAATCACATGAATAAGACGGCAATTTTCTGCTGATTTTTCATGCATAATTTTGCTGTACATAATTGTTATTTCTTGAATTTGATGATTATGAAAAACCTGTAATGTGTCTTCTTCTTATGTGCAATTATTGTGCTCCAATTTGAAAAGATTGCAAACTTATAAATTCCCACTGTTGTCTGTCTGTCTGTCTGTCTTTCCTTAATCTCAAGAATGGAGTTATATAGATGAAAGCTGAGACCATATATGGAAAAACCTATAAACACAACCCAACTGTATACAAACTACTCAACAACAGTAGGATAAGATTGAAGCTAGCAAAACTATTGGGGTATATTCCATACCACTGTAGGACAACAGATTTGATAAAAATCTAACATATATTGACTCAACAAACAGATTCTTGATGCAAAGACTCAAAGAGCACAAATACGATATTAGTAAAAACAAACACAGTACAGCTCTAGCACGATATGCAAGTGAGCAAGGAGTGTCTTTGCAATGGGCAGAATATAAACAACTTTACTAAACCTGATACATTGCAATAACACACCATCAACTGCTGTAAATTATTGGGCTATAATTTATTACATATTAAGTATACTGGAAGAGGAGATCTGGGTAGCTTAACTGGCATTCTGTATAATTCTCAATCTACAATTTCTGTAAAAATAACCTAATATGAAGTGAAATTGTTATTGTCTTGAAAATATTTTAATATTTTCGAGAGTTATGAAAATTAACATTGTAAATAAATTATGACAACAAATTTTACTAAAATTTTAATTTTAAGGAAAGATCCTCAGCAATTTTTTGCTTGGCCTGTCAGTGATATAATTGCCCCAGGATACTCTAGTATCATCTCTGATCCTATGGATTTCAGCACTATGAGGAAAAAAATTGAAAATAAAGAATATAGTAATGTGAATGAATTCAGAGTAAGTTTAAAAAAATTGAGAATTTTCTATATTATATTTCAGTAATACTAATTTTCTACTCTTTTTCTCTCTCAAGAGTGATCTGAAATTAATGTGTGATAATGCTATGACATACAATCGTCCAGATACAGTTTATTTTAAGAGTGCTAAGAAAATGTGGCATGTAGGAGAAAAATTATTAAGTCAGGTATATCTGTTTTTCAGTTTTCATTTACAAATTGCAACAATTTATTGTTCTTGTACTAAAGTAACTGTAATTAATTTATAAATATAACTGAATGTTATTATTAAAGGTTATATGTTGACAATTACAGGATCAACTATTATTGTTAAGAAGAAATCTTCCATATATATCTGATCTGGGAGCAGAAGAATTAGGATTTGATCCTGATGATGATGCAGATGAAGATTATGTTAAGGAAGAAATTATTTCTGATTCTTGTTCAGTTGTTTTACAAGATATTAAAAAGTCTAAAATTAAAGGAAGGTAAGAAAAACAATTTAAGATAAATTAATATCTTTATTGTTTAAGGAACCAAATTTCCAAATTTTTTATAAAAAAGGTCTTTATTTGAAAACTAAATGACAAATCACATGCTGTATTGTTTATTGGTAGTGTTTCATTAGTATTAAATTTCTAGATAATTGTTAAAATTATATATATTTTCAAAAGTCAAGATACATGAGAATGTATTGGCACTAAGAATGATTGACCAATTTGTTTTATAAATTTTATTACTTATATTTTATTTTGATTTATTGATATTCCAAATATTTGCTCAATTACCACTTTTTCTTTCATTATAAGCAAAACCAAAAGATTGTAGATAAATAAGCAAACCAAACAATAAATTTTATTGATGATATGTTTACATTACAAATTTTGAGTTGTTTAGCTGATAAATGATTCTGTTTATCACAGAAATAATAGTATACCACAGATTATTCCTGCTATGGCCTTTCAACCAGTACACTATTTAAACTCGGCCATCACTTCCCTTATGAGAAGAGCTTTCCTTCTTCTTTCTAGCAAAGTATTTGTAGAACAGGAAATGCAACTTATCAAAAAAGCAATGATAAAAGTGGGCTATTCCCAAGCAAAGTTTTATTATCTTCGGAATCGAGTTAAAAATAAATTATATCCTCAATCGTTCCTTACCAATAAAGAGAACCTAAGGATAGCACACCCCCCATTACCATTTCTGGGTCCTGTATCACTCAAAATTGTACACTTGTTTAGAAAAAATGGCTATATGCTACCGCTATCCACGCAGCCAACATTAAGAAGATTACTAACTAATGACAGAGCCCTCCATCGATGTGAAAGAGAAATCAGGAGTTTATCTTATTCCATCACAACATAATGGATCAGGAGAAGATACTTATTATATAGGAGCGACTGCTAGAACACTAACATTACGCGTCTCAGAACATCAGGATGACATCCGTAATAACCGGCCATCAACAGAATTAGCGAGAAAAGTCCTTGATCAAGATTACCAGCTGGTTTGGGACCAAACAAAACTATTGAAAGGGTGCAATAATCATAAAGAACTCTTTATTTGGAAAAACCTATATGTTTCAACGCTTTCACCATGTAATACCACAACTCTGGAAATCTCTAAAACATGGACTACTTTATTTAAACGTTACAAATTAGATTGCTAGAGCTACATGGTCGCATAGCAACCATAGTTTGTGAATTTCTATAATTTTCCGTTCCATTCTGAAACATTTTCGAACTGCAAGAAAATTTCGATTTACATTGGAGTTCCATTTAGCCACACCACTTTTTCAAGAAGTGCTATAACTCTGATACAGAAAACTGTAGTATTCATTTCACCTGAAGATGGTAATTCGTGAACATTTTATATTTATATTTTATACTTTTATTATTATTATATTNATTATATTTTATTTTATATTTATATTTTAACAAAAGTGCTCGTGAACATTTTATATTTATATTTTAATAATTCACCGTGGTAACGCCACAACACGTAAGTGATTTTACAATAATTATAAAGTCAGTGTGAAGTTATAACTAACTTTATTATGGAAAACCATAAAAATCACTTCTTCATACTACTGAATACAAGAGTAACATGGCTAAAACTGAAAGCACAACTATGGTTCCTTTCAAAAATTTGCAAAAAAGGTTTTATTCCCAAATGTATCAAGCTAAAGTACGACTCCTTTCCGTTTGAAGTTCGCTCCTTATTACCAAGAATCAAATGATCTCTACTTGCTAAGTTAATCAAGAACAAATGCAAGAAAGTAGCAGAAAAAGAAGAAAAGCTGTACCTATCCCACCATTGCTTTACTAAACAATGTGATGCAAGATTTCTACATCAACAATTGGGTAAAATAGCCTTTATAGCCAATAAAAAAGTAAGTGGATATACAGTTGACCCCCTATAACATGGTAGATACGTTCCGTTCTTTATGAATCAATTTTGTATGAGTCCTTGCCAATCACAGCCCGACACGTGTGAAGTTTACGGACTACGGCTGTTTGAAAGGTTTTCTTCCATAAAATTAATCGATTCTAGACTAATCCGACTCAACGTTTCCAAAATATGTATAATTTTTTTGGGAATAATCTGTATAAACTACGCTATAAACAAAAAATTGTAGGATTACTTACCTAGTGTGCACCGTTCTACGTCGCCATTGCTCAAGCTTGTTTTCGTCGCGGAGCAACACACCAAACCGCGGCCGCAATTTCTGATAAGTTATTTTTCTGCGAAAAGTTCGTTGAACTTTGGAGACATTATTAATATAAATAATTTTTATGGCCGTTGAATAAGAAATGTTTCTTTCACAAGAAATGTATAAAATTACAGTACTGTATTAGACTTACGGTACCTAATTTACATACTGTACAGATGATAGTAAACAACTTACTCGCCTAAACTCTCCGTAGCGTGGCGCTGGACGGCGGAAAGTATATATATAATTATAATAAAGTTACAATAAATTAAGTTAATATATAATTATGTATACAGTACCTAATTTATATATAATACTGTACAGACGATAGTAAACTCAATTTACCCGCCTAAATTCTCTGTAGCTTGGCGCTGGATGGCGGAAAGTAGTTCGGCTGCCCGATGACATTTTACTAAATTATAGGCATTTTTTTACCAGGTTTGTATGGATACCGTCGCAATTTTTTCACCGTCTTATAGGAATCGTAATTATAGGAACCCGTGTTATAGGGAGTCTACTGTAGAAGGAAATCCACAAGAAAGTCCTATGGCTACAAGAAAATTTCCACCGAAAACAAGCTAGGAAAATAGAGATCTCTTATTATAATTATACTAATGTAAAGGTTCCAGAAGAAATTCATCAAGTGTTAACAAAGAGACCAAAACATATACCGATCCCAAAGCTCGATTATGCACATTTAATTCCTTCCGCGATAGCAGCCATCAAAAGTGTTACAAGTCCGGAATTACAACCAGACTTAGAATTAACAGCTATCACCAATATAACAATGCAACGCTGCATAAAAAATAACAACATGAGAACAAAAATGACTCGGTCTGTCAAATTATTTCTTACATCCAATAACTTGAATCTACTGGTGGCTGATAAAGAAAAGAGATTTGTGTTGTGTAAAAATCATGATTTCATTTCAAGAGCTAATGATTTCCTGATACAATCTAAATCCATTCCTCTGAATCAGGACCAACCAACATCGTTTTACAGAAAACACACAAGATCATAGCTCTCCCAGAGATTACTTTGTCTTTGACAGGTTCTCTACAACCTCCAAAGAATACAGTTTGTCCCAGATTACTTTTTGAAGTGTAAACGCACAAGCATAGTTGGCCTTTAAGACCACTTGTCAATAAATGCACTCATCCAACATACCATCTTGAAGCTGCCACAACTAAATTACTTACATCTTTAATACCTCCTTCTAACTTGGTGACCACAGCCTCTATACATGCCAAGACTCTTATTTCTTCTGCTCTAAGAGATCTTTCCAACTAATGCAGTGTTTCTCAACCTCTAACGAATCATTGCCCCCTTCAACGTAGTATTGCCCTTTCACTTCAAACTTCCTTCCGATGCTGTGGGCCAAGGCTGACGCCAAATTTGTACTGCATTGAATAGAATAGTGACTAGTACAGGCATGGCCAACATATGGCCCGTCTAATGAATTTATGTGGCTCGCAATTAATCTTCCAACATTAGCTACTCAAGTCCGAATGACTTGATGAAAAACTCTGACGCTTAAAAAAAAAATAAAATAAAAAAAAATAAAAGGTCAACAACTCACTGCGCATTTAGAGTTTATTCCTCCATTACAAATCTCGTAAGTACAGCGTAGAATGTTTATCAACTTTATTAAAAGAAAGAATGTTGATAATGCATGATAATGTGAAAAATGTATCTGTAATCTCTATGTACAATTTAGTCTCTACTTGGTGACACCACAATGAGATCTTGCACCACCTCAAAATCTTCCTAGGGCAGCCTCTGGTTTGGCCCGTGAAAAAAGGTTTCTTTTCAATTCGGCCTGGGGGCAAAAACTGTTGGCCACCCCTGGACTAGTATGATGTTATTTGTTTAATTATTGTACGATATAACGAATAAAATATCTAATTATTCTTAATATAATGTTTTACTATTTTGCCCAGAAAATTGTTTTTGCCCCCCCCCCAAAATATTAATTGTTACTAATTGCCCCCTCAATGTGGAAAAACGTCCACATGGGGGTGATATCGCCCCCGTTGAGAAACACTGAACTAATGCATATCACTTATTTAATTAAAGTCGATGCTGTTTCCCTATTCCTGTCCATACCTTATTTTGAGGCTGTCATGCTCGCTAATACATAAAATGATTCTCTACATTATTTCACGAGCTTTTACTGATAAAAGATTTGGATACAATAACTTGAAATATATACTAATAAAATAAAACATAAAGCATCATATTTTTTGTTTTGTAATGTGAAGTCTAGTGGTTAGACTTTCTCACATTGACTCACTCACTCCTTTAAAGGTTGCGTAATAGTTTCAACCAAATAGAATGCAGTGTGAAATTGAACATTAAACAATTTCTATTCCTCTGTGAAAATGTTTAAATATTTCATTTATTGTTACATTCATCAAATTAAGGCATCTTAAAAAACAAATATTTAAAACTATTAAATTTTGGCAAATAATTTTTTAAATTTTTTTAGAAATATTCATATTCTAACATTTCAATGGTTCTGATATATCATAAAATATTAAGATAAATTGCAATATGAAGTAAATTTTAATTAAATTACAAATATGTTTGGATAATGCTTTCCTTAACTCCATATCACACAGTCCAGTCAATGCCATCTAGCAAATTGACACTCAAAAAAATCATCTTTGTTCTTTACAACCACTTATTGTTTAATAACTTTGCTGCAGCAGTAAGCTTTAAAACTACAGTTGACCCCCTATAACATGGGTTCATATAGTTTGATTCCTATATGAT